GTTATGACTGATTGGTCTGGCTCTCCTGTAGGATATTGTTATCATAACCTATTTAGCGCCTGAATGATTAACTGACCAATGCTACAGAGTAAACAAGTTCAGATACAGGTCAGACACACCACACAGATAAGTCGGGAAATGATCGTACTGTAGAGAGATTACAGAAAGGGAAGTTAAGAGCAGATAAGGGAGGTATTTGCCCATTGTATACAGCATTCCATATTCCTGGAAACAGGGTTTCCGGATAATGACATTCTTTGACATTATGTGGCATTCTATAAATGACATTCTTCTTGCATATTGGAGAATATAAGGATTCATGTTTATGATCACTGAAAATCATGATTATCAATGATTATAAAGAGAAATCCAACTGCATAATGACGCAAACAAGAAGAACACTAGAAGAATGTCATTTTTACTTCCAGAGCCTGATTTTCTATGGGCCTACTCTTCAATGGCAGTGAAACAGCAGGGCTGGAGGGGCATAAAAGGTCCTCTGTTGCCCACTCGCTTAAGGGTCTGAGTTCCCACTGTCACCTCATGGAGGGTTGGAGTGCTGGAGGAATGGGGATTTGCCCAGTTCCCAACAACTCAGTGATAGGGACAGGATCGTGGTGGGCTGTCACCTAGCAACAACTGGCTTCTAATGGGCCTGCTAATTAAAGAGATGTTGACATTGAAAGAGAGAGACAGACGACAGGCTTCAATGGAGAGAAAACACTGCTCTGTTTGGGTAGTTGCTATTTGATATGCCATACACTGTCTGTGCAGTATTTATTTATAATGGCATTTATTCATATTCGTAGGGGTAAAAGAATAACAACTGAGTCTAGGATTGATTAAAACTTTTGGTGTTAACACAAATATGAACTAGATATGATCACTGGCTTGTTTTGTCATAACTTAGCAGCAGTATAAAGTTGAACCACACTTTTCTGTACACCTCACCACTATTGCAATCACAGCTGGACTTGTGATGAACTTGCAAATTTTTCCTAAATGCTGGCATGTTTTTCTTCATACCAAACTCCTAACAGAGCTGATTCTCTGTAGCCCATTTAGAATTCCTATTTGAGACTTTTTAAATAGGGGGTGTTTTTCCCTTCCATCCCCCATACCCAAACCTGGCATGTTGAAAATATCCTGCTTCCTTAGTTTAAAGGGAGGCATCTGCTCTTTAAACAGTCCTCTTACCTGCAGTGCTGCAGGAGCTAGCTAAATATTTTTGGAACTTTCAAGTGTACAGTGGGGGGAAAAAAGTATTTAGTCAGCCACCAATTGTGCAAGTTCTCCCACTTAAAAAGATGAGTGAGGCCTGTAATTTCCATCATAGGTACACGTCAACTATTACAGACAAATTGAGAAAAAGAAAATCCAGAAAATCACATTGTAGGATTTTTTATGATTTTATTTGCAAATTATGGTGGAAAATAAGTATTTGGTCACCTACAAACAAGCAAGATTTCTGGCTCTCACAGACCTGTAACTTCTTCTTTAAGAGGCTCCTCTGTCCTCCACTCGTTACCTGTATTAATGGCACCTGTTTGAACTTGTTATCAGTATAAAAGACACCTGTCCACAACCTCAAACAGTCACACTCCAAACTCCACTATGGCCAAGACCAAAGAGCTGTCAAAGGACACCAGAAACACAATTGCAGACCTGCACCAGGCTGGGAAGACTGAATCTGCAATAGGTAAGCAGCTTGGTTTGAAGAAATCAACTGTGGGAGCAATTATTAGGAAATGGAAGACATACAAGACCACTGATAATCTCCCTCGATCTGGGGCTCCACGCAAGATCTCACCCCGTGGGGTCAAAATGATCACAAGAACGGTGAGCAAAAATCCCAGAACCACACGGGGGGACCTAGTGAATGACCTGCAGAGAGCTGGGACCAAAGTAACAAAGCCTACCATCAGTAACACACTACGCCGCCAGGGACTCAAATCCTGCAGTGCCAGACGTGTCCCCCTGCTTAAGCCAGTACATGTCCAGGCCCGTCTGAAGTTTGCTAGAGTGCATTTGGATGATCCAGAAGAGGATTGGGAGAATGTCATATGGTCAGATGAAACCAAAATAGAACTTTTTGGTAAAAACTCAACTCGTTTTGTTTGGAGGACAAAGAATGCTGAGTTGCATCCAAAGAACAACATACCTACTGTGAAGCATGGGGGTGGAAACATCATGCTTTGGGGCTGTTTTTCTGCAAAGGGACCAGGACGACTGATCCGTGTAAAGGAAAGAATGAATGGGGCCATGTATCGTGAGATTTTGAGTGAAAACCTCATTCCATCAGCAAGGGCATTGAAGATGAAACGTGGCTGGGTCTTTCAGCATGACAATGATCCCAAACACACCGCCCGGGCAACGAAGGAGTGGCTTCTTAAGAAGCATTTCAAGGTCCTGGAGTGGCCTAGCTAGTCTCCAGATCTCAACCCCATAGAAAATCTTTGGAGGGAGTTGAAAGTCTGTGTTGCCCAGCGATAGCCCCAAAACATCACTGCTCTACAAAGGGTATATAACAAAGTATTGAGAAACTTTTGTTATTGACCAAATACTTATTTTCCACCATAATTTGCAAATAAATTCATTAAAAATCCTACAATGTGATTTTCTGGATTTTTATTTCTCATTTTGTCTGTCATAGTTGACGTGTACCTATGATGAAAATTACAGGCCTCTCTCATCTTTTTAAGTGGGAGAACTTGCACAATTGGTGGTTGACTAAATACTTTTTTCCCCCACTGTACTTACTAGCCTATGTTGTGAGTGGATTACCAAGACGCTTTTAGAAAGCATTTTGGAGGGGCAGTGTAAGAGGTTCTTGTCAGGAAAAGGCAAGAGGGTAAATGGGAATGTTGCCTATGATCACACTTTGTTTCGATCATTATGACCCTTTTTAAACCCATCCTTTCTGTTTGTTATGTTATTACAATACAGTACCTTTGGCTTATATAATTGAGAAGTGGGATTACACCGTTGTAGCATTATGATCAGTTGTCATCTGACCTTTCGTGACTAATGTCTATGTTTTAGAATGTACTTCTCTTTTATGTAAATCCATACATGTTGAGGTACAGTGGGGAAAAAAAGTATTTAGTCAGCCACCAATTGTGCAAGTTCTCCCACTTAAAAAGATGAGAGAGGCCTGTGATTTCCATCATAGGTACACGTCAACTATGACAGACAAAATGAGAAAAAAAAATCCAGAAAATCACATTGTAGGATTTTTTATGAATTTATTTGCAAATTATGGTGGAAAATAAGTATTTGGTCAAAAACAAAAGTTTCTCAATACTTTGTTATATACCCTTTGTTGGCAATGACACAGGTCAAACGTTTTCTGTAAGTCTTCACAAGGTTTTCACACACTGTTGCTGGTATTTTGGCCCATTCCTCCATGCAGATCTCCTCTAGAGCAGTGATGTTTTGGGGCTGTCGCTGGGCAACACGGACTTTCAACTCCCTCCAAAGATTTTCTATGGGGTTGAGATCTGGAGACTGGCTAGGCCACTCCAGGACCTTGAAATGCTTCTTACGAAGCCACTCCTTCGTTGCCCGGGCGGTGTGTTTGGGATCATTGTCATACTGAAAGACCCAGCCACGTTTCATCTTCAATGCCCTTGCTGATGGAAGGAAGTTTCCACTCAAAATCTCACGATACATGGCCCCATTCATTCTTTCCTTTACACGGATCAGTCGTCCTAGTCCCTTTGCAGTAAAACAGCCCCAAAGCATGATGTTTCCACCCCCATGCTTCACAGTAGGTATGGTGTTCTTTGGATGCAACTCAGCATTCTTTGTCCTCCAAACACGACGAGTTGAGTTTTTACCAAAAAGTTATATTTTGGTTTCATCTGACCACATGACATTCTCCCAATCCTCTTGTGGATCATCCAAATGCACTCTAGCAAACTTCAGACGGGCCTGGACATGTACTGGCTTAAGCAGGGGGACACGTCTGGCACTGCAGGATTTGAGTCCTTGGCGGCGTAGTGTGTTACTGATGGTAGGCTTTGTTACTTTGGTCCCAGCTCTCTGCAGGTCATTCACTAGGTCCCCCTGTGTGGTTCTGGGATTTTTGCTCACCATTCTTGTGATCATTTTGACCCCACAGGGTGAGATCTTGCGTGGAGCCCCAGATCGAGGGAGATTATCAGTGGTCTTGTATGTCTTCCATTTCCTAATAATTGCTCCCACAGTTGATTTCTTCAAACCAAGCTGCTTACCTATTGCAGATTCAGTCTTCCCAGCCTGGTGCAGGTCTACAATTTTGTTTCTGGTGTCCTTTGACAGCTCTTTGGTCTTGGCCATAGTGGAGTTTGGAGTGTGACTGTTTGAGGTTGTGGACAGGTGTCTTTTATACTGATAACAAGTTCAAACAGGTGCCATTAATACAGGTAACAAGTGGAGGACAGAGGAGCCTCTTAAAGAAGAAGTTACAGGTCTGTGAGAGCCAGAAATCTTGCTTGTTTGTAGGTGACCAAATACTTATTTTCCACCATAATTTGCAAATAAATTCATAAAAAATCCTACAATGTGATTTTCTGGATTTTTTTTTCTCAATTTGTCTGTCATAGTTGACGTGTACCTATGATGAAAATTACAGGCCTCTCTCATCTTTTTAAGTGGGAGAACTTGCACAATTGGTGGCTGACTAAATACTTTTTTTCCCCACTGTACATACAGTGATCACTAGAAATCCTGGATTTCTTTATTTACGTAATGCCATGATATGGGTATGTGCCTATAATGTCATATCATATGAATCTATAATGGGGAATTACTTTAGATATATCAATCCTCTGTGATATAATATAAGTATATGTGAGGCAAAACATTACAAAGGGCTTGGCTGAGAATTCTGAATTACTTGTCAGGTTGACCGTCTGTGCACACACAGATGCATACACATGCAAACAAGCACAGTGTGTAAGAGCTGAAACCACACCGATAGCTAGATTGCTGGATAATAACCTAAATCAGCTGTTAGTTTAAGATCTTGTATGGGACTCTGTTGGGTGGGAGTTGTACCGTTTCTGGCTCATAAGCAGCTCTCGGTGGAGCTCCTGGTGGCTTTTGGAGGCTTTCACTGGATTAAGGAGCTTTTTGGGCTTGATGAGATCATCATCTCCCTCGATGTAGTCTGGCTGGGGGACATAGCCAGCCACAGGGGGCTGGTCTCTGTGAGGGTAGTCCTGAGGTAGGTGGCTCCCATCCTGCCTGGGCTGCTGCTCCCACTGCAGGTCCGCATAGGCTGACGCTGGAGGACAAAGAGGAGGAGAGAGGGTAGGACAGGAGAAATGGACAGAGAAAGACACCATTGTTAGTGATTAAGAAACAAAACAGGGGAAACGTATACTAGAAATTGAGGCGTGACTGAAGGAAACAGGAAGGTGTCCATAGCAGAGGTTCCCAAGTCCCATCATGGGGCAATAATCTCTGGATCCTCAGGAGATGAGGAAACATTCCTGCTCATTTGCACACATTAGCCGGGCAGCAGCTGAACAACGGCAGGTGAGCTGCCAGGCACTTGGCTCCGTTTGTGTTCTTTAGAGCTAGAGGAAATTCCATATCCCCCTTTCCCCTCTCTGCTATGGGTTGAGATGCTGACACGCTAGGTTACACCTTCTTTGCTCACTGTAAACCATACACGCAAGCAACGGGAATGTCATGTTCACTGAGCCTTAACTTTCTGAGTCAATTATTAGGTATTCCATAAAGGTGTGGCGACTATCACTCAATCCCTCAGTGACATCTGTGACGTGAATGGGATTTAGTCATTCTGCAGCACTCTCAATGGAAGTGATAGGATCATTCATAGAATGTTGCTTCCGTCGTTAGGATGTGAATGGTCCCATAAGAACATACACAGATACATTCAAGCATAGACATGGTTTCGTACTGTCTGTCCCAAATGTCCCAGCCTATTGTATTTTCCACATATTTCAGTGGGTTTTGTTCCATCAGAACAAACAGATTAAGAGGCACCTGATCTGTGCCAGAGTGTTTCTGTAGAGAGATCAGATGTCATACGCAAGCAGGCCAGCTCAGAACAATGACTCTCTTTCTCAAGTGCAACCAGACACCATCTCTGCTACTTAATATTTCAGAAATATGAAATGAGCTGTGGTTGTCTTGTCTCAGCACTTCCCAATCAGGGCTAGTGACAGGATGTTGATGGGCTGGGGCCAACGGGATATTATCTGGGCATTGGAAACAGTAACAAACACATCAACACATTTTAGATGGAAAAATAAATCTGGTTCCTGTGTTGCCTTATCAAATACAGGTGATTGAATTCAGGCCATTGCTTGAAATGCTAGTTGGGCCATTTTGTTAATCTGCCTCATTCTCATTCTGACAGAATGCCACTAACAGCAGATTGACAAGTACAATAAAAGTATTGCGTTTTAGTCGTGTACAATGCAGTAACTCTGAAGGAACAACAGCAGAACCATGTGACCCAGGCTGTCTCGTTTGTCTGAGGATTATAAGGGCATTATTAATTACTGAATAGAGTGGGCCTGTTGCTCTACAGAGATATGTCATCTGTGTGAGAGAGGGAGAGCACAGGGAGAACACAATTCATAGAGGGAAAGATAGAAAGTAATAGAAAGAGAGAAAGCAATACAGAGAAGGAAATCAAAGAGAAAGTAATCGAAAGAAAGAGAGCAATACAGAGAGAGCTGGAGATAACAGAAGTATTACAATGAGAGAGACGGGGGTATGGAGAGAGACGGGATAAAAAGTAATATAAAGAAAGTGAGCAACACAGAATAGGGAGGGATACATAGAAAGAGAGAGAAGGAGAGAGAGAAAGAGAAGCCCAGGGTCATTGTTTTTTTATGAGCGCTGGTCCAGCGATGCAGACTCACTGAAATCACAGATGCCTTCTAAAGCCTTGGAGGTAAATGGAGGGAGATGTTTCTAAAGCAGTAGCGAAGTCTAAAGCAGCTTACTGTCCACCAGCTCTCTGCTGGATCCCTACACAATCACTAATACTCATTCCCTCTCTATGGCTATAATGTAACACTTACAGGACATACTAATGAACATGCATGCTGAGAGTATGTATTGTACTGTGTGTGTTCATGTTTGGGTGTACATTCACATCTGTATGTGCAACATTTTGTGCTGGCCTTGTGATCCTGTGCATGCGTTTTGACCAGCAACAACAACCTGGTCTCAGAGCATTTCGTATTATTACGTATGTCATTCCGGGACACTCTATTAAGTATGATATGTTACGTTTCGTATGGTATGTATTAATTGGTGTATGTCCAAGACCCATTTTGTATGATATGTTATGAATTACAATTTGTATTATATGTTACGAATTTGCTAAATGTAAAATATGTTATGAAATTGCAAAATATATGATATGTTTCGAATTGTAGCTAGGTGGCTAACATTAGCTAGCTGGCTAATGTCAGCTAGGCTAGGGTTAAGGTTAGGGTTAAGTTTAGGAGTTAGGTTAAAGGGTTAAAGTTAGGGTTAGAGAAGAGTTAGCTAAAAAGGTTAAGGTTAGGGTTAGCTAAAAGGGTTAGGGGAAGGGTTAGCTAACATGCTAAGTAGTTGCAAAGTAACTCAAAAGTAGCAAGTAGTTGAAAAGTTGCTAATTAGCTCAATCCGTGATGAGATTCAAACTCCCAACATTTGGGTTGCTAGACATTCACGTTATACTCTCACCCATCCATCCTGACCAACCACCCAACTTTCGTTTTTGCCTTAAGTAACCATATGTCTTATGTAACCATACCAAACGTAACATATCATACTAATTTGAGTGTCGGATTTTCATTTACTATGTTACATCTAGTCTATGAGGCCAGCGAGGCAACAAACAAAAAAGGAAGACCGGTTGCATCATTTGTTATGCAATACAAATCCACAATCTTCTGTGTGAATGTTTGCTTATCCTTCATAAAAATAGACAAGACTCCCTCAAAAGATCAAGACAGACATGCAGTGTCACATGTAGAGTTGCAAAGCTACCGGTAGTTTACCAAAGTTACCGGATTCTTCAGTAATTTTGGTAATTAACAGAAAATCGATGGCAATCTATCGTACATTTAGTCATTTATACTTGGATAACTTTTAAAATCTGTCTCCGTCCATTCGTCTGTACGTTTGTTCTTTAGTCACACGCGATATCTCAGACAGCACTGGGCCGATTTTGACTAAACTTGAGTGAATGATGCATCTTGCCATAGATGCCATTTACAAAATTACACTGATTGGCCCAAGGCAGGAGCTATAGTAATGACTGAAACTAGTTAGTCACACACGATATCTCAATTGGCCCAAAAGGGGGGCGCTCCATCATTCGTGGGGGACAACATTTACTGTTCCCTTGTTTATATCTGTGTCCATATTGTCCACACGTTTCTAGTAGATAGACCATATGGTTCAAGAGAAAATAGCCTAATAACAAAAAAAGCATCTAATCAACAAATGGCATTATTTTCAACTCTGCAACTATTTCAACTATTTAATTTGTTCACAACTGCCACCAGTTTGACGACAAAACATTGACATCAAATACGACTGACAGTAAAATAAATAAAAGTATGTAAAATAAATAGTATATTTCATGCTGAAAGACTGATTAAAAACCAGTGGTATTCACTAAGGTCATGGTTTATATTTAGGATAATGTTTTATAGCTTTGTCATTCTATTAGTTTTTTTCTAATCTTATTGAATTACTTCATAGATTTGACATGTGATAAGGCCAAAGATAATTACATACACCTGTAAAAATCTGAAGTACCCAAAAAGATGTGATAGATTACATAAAATCCTTGAACATTTTAAAAATTCTGGTAGTTTACTGGTAAGAAGGTTTAGAAAGTTTCCAGTAAAATACCCTCCCTTTGCAACCCTAGTCACATAGGAGACAGACATGTAGGATAAATCGGTAATTCTTGAGTCATATAATCCTGGCTGTGGTTGTATTGATTTGACATTTAGGACATGCTAGATGTCATCTCGATGCACCCTGGGTAAGTTAGTAATATCTCTGTGCACTGAGTCCATCATCCAGTTACATTGGGTCAATGCATTTAGATGGATCCCTGGAGGAGCATGGCAAATCATATTTTCCTCTGTGTGTCTATGGTAGGGGATGAGGCTCAGGCTACAGTACAGTGGCTAGAGAAACAGGAGCCTTTTCAATCTTCATTCTCCCACAATCTTTGCAGTAAACCATTTTACGGAAATATGTCGTTTGAGTCGCTGTTTGTTCTTTGAAATGCTTTATAATGTCACTTAGGTTCTGTTTGCATATTCTGAGTAAGTGGTAATTGGAGTCAAAGCAGGCTACACATTGTTTGATTATAAATGAGTTTGGGAAATTATTGTGAAATAGCTGGGCCTGTCAACCAACTATTTCCTTTTGCCTTTCGCCAAAGCTCATTCAGATTTTTTCAGTGAGAGATTTACTTCCCTGTTACTCCAGGAGGTGGATGCAGATGGTTTGGGTAGGGAAATGATTTAATTCCTGTCTCGTTTTATGACGCTATGCACCTTGGGAGGAAAAATCTGAGAGTGAAAGAGTTTTCAGATTGTATACAAACAGAACACTGGTTGTTGTCGTGGCAATGCAAGCGTAGCCCCTTAGATGCCCAGAGCACCCAGTCTCCCAAGGGGCAATGCGGGGGAGTTGTTTTCCCAGAATACACTGTGAATACAGATTGTTGACACACCATGAAATTCAGACTGAGGCTCCATGAAGTCATTATCATTAAAATAGGCAAGGGTCTAACATAACAGCAGAAGCCAACGAAGACGCATGTTAGGCCACTAACCAGACATGCCATCAGAATAATTCAGAACATACAGTAAACTTCATGGAATTGTAGAGTTGAATTAAGCAAATTATTCACTCAGGGTCACTAGATGAATCAGTTATACAGACAGAATGGTACAGACATACTGCTTGAATAAGTGACCCCAGTAAATGGTGTGCTTGTTTAAGTGCAGTATTTTACTGTTTCTGTACTCAGGGCAGTTAGTCACAATCCCCTGATAACTGTTCAAACATGCCCGGCAGGCAGCACAGTTTATTTGACTTGATCACACAAAGGTGAACCCGGTGTTATGCTATTTAAATCAATAAGACATCCAAATACTGCAAGTGGAACACACATAAAAAGAGTTTGCGAAAGGTGGCTCAAACAGTTTGAGACATATATGACAACAGAGCTGCCATTGATCAGTTCAATGTGCACATAACAGGTCCTGTATTGTCCAATTGATGGACAGAGGATGGAGGGGCTCTTCTATACAAAGAACATGTAAATGTCCCAAGACTCAAGAGTACAAAACAAAAAAAATCCTGCTTAAGCATTATGAGGACATTACCTGAATGAATCTTGCTATTTGAAGTCATAGTGCCTGGTGATAACACCTTGGTGTGTCCAGCACATCGTTCCCAAACTGTTAACATGACGATCTGTGCTGCTGTGCCAATGCATAAATTATAGACATAGCTAGCTGTCCTCAGTGGATTTTGCTATGAGACTGATCTGATGCTCTGTGTCTCAGGTACACATACATGTACAGTACATTTCACTCCATGTTGGTCTTTTCCAGGCCCAAACAATGAGCCCTCCTAAATGTATCTAAAATACCTTCTCCCTAATAAGTAGAGACAATTGTAACAGATAACAACATCTAGTATCTACAAAGTTCCCTCCAGTTAACTTCAGTAATACATTCCAGTGTCCTCGCAAAACCATGTTGTTTTATCAACATACTGTACAGATCTCACTACCTTCTCTCTACTTGCACAATTTCCTTTCCCATAAATAAACAAAGTCTATAACATATAAAACACTGTCCTGCAAAATCTGGCTTCTGCTGAAGCCTCTGTGTCAGCCCTGCTGTTCTGCCACAGTGACAGAGTGGAGCGTAGCTCTGCATGGGTCTTACCTGACTTGACCAGTACATCCCTGGGCCTCCCAGCCTGGCCAGAAGGGAACAGGCTGTGACTGTGGGTGACTCTCTGTGCCATGCCTCTCTCGGTGTCTGTCTGTCTGTCTCGCTCTCTCTGTGTCCGGGTGTATCTATGTGTGTCCTGCTGCAGCACTCCTTTAAGCATGCTTCTCTGCCCAGGCTAGAGTAAACAGTCACATGACCCCCGGGCATTCCACTGCCCGCCCCTCCCTCTCTCGCACCCTGTCGCTCTCTCTCTTTCTCTCACTCTTTATCTCTAATATTATTACTCTCTCTATTGCCTCTCCCCTCCCTCTCTAACCTGCTGTTAGTCTCTCTCTCTCTCTCTCTCTCTCTTTCTCCCCCCCTCTCCCTCTCTCTCTCTCTCTCTCTCTCTCCCCCTCTCTCTCTCTCTCCCCCTCTCTCTCTCTCTCCCCCTCTCTCTCTCTCCCCCTCTCTCTCTCTCCCCCTCTCTCCCTCTCTCCCTCTCTCCCTCCCTCCCTCCCTCCCTCCCTCAGTGGTCTGTAGCTGGTAGGATTAGCAGAGGGCTTAAACTCTGGCCTAATGCTCATATTAACCATAAATCATCTGGGCGCTTTCATACTCAGTGTAGTACAGTAGCCAGGCTGACAGTACTGGGAGAGAGCACCCTGGGCTGTTCATCTACACATGGCTTTCCCAATGCCTCTGCTTTAAGGGGATGTAGAATGTATACAGTGTTAGCTAGATAGAGATTATGAGCTAGCCCGCAATCAGTCAGAGGGTTGTCAGTATCAATCTGACATTTTTCTCCTGACAAAGAGAGGGTCACTTACCACTTTAGAAAATAACTGAGTGACAAGTGACTTATTTGTTACAGTTATAAATAATGTTTTTGATAAAAAATATCCTAAATTTGTCAGCAAAGTAAGACATTGGATTAGGAAAAAAAATTAATCTCTTCAGCACTCTGATGAAAACTCTTCAAGACATGTTGATCTCAAAGTTGGACACTTTAGTCTATGTCGAGTACCACGAAATCCCTTGTATTTCACAAAATCAACGTAATCAGATTTTATATCATGTTAGCACAGGCACTAAATTGTAAGACTCTTTTAAGACTCTTCAAGGTTTTACTGGATGCTTTGAGCCCTTTAAAAAAATGTTTCATACATAACACAAACAGTGTATCCAGACCAGTAAACAGCCAAACGTGCCAAGTGTGCGGAAGTACCTCTGCCTGGCTGGCAGGTATGGTCACTGTGAGTGGAGGGCCAGGTCCATTACTCCTCTATGTACATGGAGAGGCAGTGATAACACACAATGGTAACTCAGAGGTGCTTGGCTTTACTTCCCAGGCATGTTATTGTTGCATAAGACTGTAACCGGAGAGGGCCAGACATACCTCTGCCATTCCGGTGCTTTCCATTTTTCACACACTGCTGCTGCTGTTGGTCGACATTATACGTCTTCTGTAGAAAGAGGGAGAGAGAGAGAGGTAAAGAAGAACAGAGAGAGATGGGTGGGGTGGGAGAGAAATAGAGATTGGTTCAGACGATACATCAGACACTGATCATTGCCATTTCTCACATCCGCCCAGCATGCTTGTGATGTCATTAGTGTCTCCTCATTGATTTTAAATGGACATTACCGGTCTGGGGGCTATAAACAGCTAAAGGCCACTGGCACACAGTGACAGCAGACATTAAACACTCACCCTGGTGTCCTGGCCCTCTCGCCCTTCCATTCTTCCTCCATCCCTCTCACTTCTACTCCTTTTACTTCTATCCATTCCTCTCCTCAGCCTCCTCCTCACCTCCTGTTACTGCCTCTCTCTCTCTCTCTCTCTCTCTCTCTGAGGCCTGGTTGTCCATACTGAAGCCTTGCAGCACAGCCTCTTCACAGGGGTGAGCTGAGCTCCATTCAAAGGGCCTTTTGGACACTCTCTCGGCTGTGTGAAAGGATAATGTGTTGCCGTCTATGGTTGCTAGGAGAGGCCTTCACAGGCTTGGTTTGATGACAAGGCCCTTACTGTCTTGAGTCTCCCCCTCCCCCCCCCCCCCCCCCCCCCCCTCCACTACCTCCCTGGCATTACTGGGGGTGGGGGCATTTCTGTTAATCCACTGGTGGGGTATAGGGTGAAGTCTGTGTCGTGCATGGAAATTGAGAGTTTGGGTGAATGGAGGTTTGGGGAGGGCAGTGTTTTAATGAATGATCTCTTTCTCCTAAATGTGCCTCTGTCGCTGTGTTGGGACAGGGTGTTCCTCATGTAAAATGTTCTGTAAATATGACAAACAGCAACAAACATGAATAATACATGACCTCACATGGAAAATACCTCAACTCTGTTGATTGTATCATGTACTATGATACATGTTATTTTTTCTGACATGATCAAAATAGAGGCTTCAGTTATGATAATGTCTAGAGACTAGTTTTTAAAAATGCTAAATCCAATACATTTATGTTGTGTAAAATGTAATAGTAATAATGGAAATAATTACTTTTCTACAACACATTGCTCCTTATATTCATGCTCTCTCTCATTGCTTTGAAGTACAACAGAGTTGCTCTAAGCAGCATTATGATTACCAGGGGCTCACTAAGAAGGTCTAAGAAGCAAAGCCTGTGCTAATAACAATTGAGTCATGTTTGAAATGAGCTTAGAGGGGAATTAAAACTCCATATTTACAGTCACACTGCATAAACCCCTCTTTCGTTGATGAGTCACCTCGTAACGTCTTTGAGCTGTGTGAATAAAGAATAGTAAGCTCTGTATTGATCTCCAGTGATTATGAGTGTCCATAACTTTATCCTCTTAATTTTCCTGCCCTAGGAGTGTATCGAGGTTCATGGCTTGCCTCTGTAAGTGAACAATCAAATCCAAACAGGCTGAACCTGTCCTATAACAGGTCTCAGTAGGGTTGCAAAATTCTGGTAACTTTCCAGAAATCCCAGTTGGAGGATTCCTGGTCTAAATCCATTCTGGAAGCACTGGACCTTGTCCCTACTGTGCAGACTGGCTGACCCGGGTTTAGATATTCTGTTGTATTTTTCCCTGGCCCAGTGTCTCATGACCATCAGTGGTCATTTGACCTTTCCAATCAGAGTCCTGTTTGATGTCCCTCATGTTTTATTAAGCAGACTGAGAAAGTGCCTCTATACCTCTAACCCCAAAATAAGGGGTGAGACAAAGAGGTTAGACTTTATTTTGTCAAATCAATTTGGACCCTGATCCGGTGATCTGGTGCTCTGGTTTCACCCCTCAGGGTAGTCAGGTTACCCAGACAACACAGGTTGTTAGTAGAGGCCCTGGACGGGAGAGTAGGGTTGCTAGAAAAGTACACAAGCAATGCACCTTCCAACCACTAACTCTAACTTGAACCCTAACCTTACTAATAACCTTGATATTGCCTGATTACACGCTCAGGCTCAGTTAAGCACTCTTAAGCACTCAGTTACACATACGCAAACACGTATGTACGCACACATGCACCCACACAAAATGTGAGTATATCATTATAATTACAAAAAGTTATGATTATGTTTGCATTATCCCTTTGAATAGAGTCCTACTCAATATTTGAATATTGAACGCTGTGTCAACATTAGTAATTTCAACCATGGATATAAATAAATACATCTTCCTTTAATTACAGAATATTGTGGCTGACACTGCCTCAGTACAGTACACTGTGTTCCCTACATGAGGTATTTGGATGTTTTAACGTCCCCCATGAAAAAGGAAAAACCCGCACTCACTAAAATATTATTTAAGTTTCAATGTATTTTTTAGCAGCAGAGGTCAGAGCAAACAGACACGTTTGGGCGACAGCCTTCATCAGCCTTTTTTGTTTTACCTCCCCCTGAGTCATATGAGCCCTTAACATAGTGCTCTCCTGGTGAGATGAAAGGGCAGTAAAAGCAGAGAGCTTGTCAGAGGCATTCAAGACACTGCCATTAGATGAGACAGAGGGAACTACTGCCCCAGAGATTGTTGGCTTGACACACACTCTCCAAAATGCAGAATTAGAACCTGACACCTGTAGTAAGGCATTGAAAAGGAAAAGGCGCAACGCTCGCTCACCATAAAAAATGCATTGTTTTATTTAAAAGTTGCAAAACGCGATCAGATTGAATCCCGCCCTAAGTTTTCATTTACATTTTAGTAATTTAGCAGACACTCTTATCCAGAGCGACTTACATGAGCAATTAGGGTTAAGTGCCTTGCTCAAGGGCAGATCGACATATTTTTCACCTAGTCGGCTCGGGGATTAGAACCAGCGACCTTTCGGTTACTGGCACAACGCTCTTAACCACTAAGCTACCTGCCTACCTACCAGGCCCTGTCAATAGAGACCCAGTTAGCGACCCAAAACGAACTCCATGTGGATCCTGACTTACCAAGGAACTAGCGTAGCTTTTCCCAATCCAAACTGGAGTAATCAGTGGGCAAACTGCAACACTGACCGTGTTGTACACTGCTGAAGGGCCTGTCACCAGCATGTGTCTGTGCTACTAAATAAACTTTTCCACTTTTCTGCCATTTTTAAAGTCATTCCCCCCTCCGTCCTGGACTTTTCCTAAATAAGTCTATAAGACAATGTTTCCACATTCGCGGAGACCGCAATCACATGAAATGCTGCATATGTCGGCTCAATCAGAAATTACCATTAAATGTCAAGCGCGCTATAACGCAGCTCTACCGCCGGTGGGATTGAATCCCAGCTTTCGATGGTCACAGCACAACAAAGATGGGAACCACTCCATTAAGCTGATCCTAGATCAGTGCTTAGGGACAGAGTCCACCTCAGGCCAGTACATTAGTCACTCTCACCTCCGCCTGTCTTTGATCTCAGGAAGGCAGATTCTGCACCACAGGTCATCACAGCTCAACATGAACCATGTTCCACTATGCCAGTTACCCTCCAGGAAGGAAAATTGATGTACTCAGGCAGGACACAATGTTTTACAGATGGTTTTAAGATGTAACGTTCACATCTGGGAGGCCTTGTAAACTACAAAGCGTTCCCTTTCCTGCAACAGGCTTTAACATGCACAATACATACACACACACAAACACACACACACACACACACTCAACAACAACCCACAATACATGCAATGGTACTGATTCAGATTTTTGCATGATCAGATTGAATGGTGTGTTGAAATTGAGTTGAGTCT